GCCACTTCTGTCTTTAACAGAATGAACAGAATAACATTACTTTGAGACAGTAAGGACATAGGTTTGGGATATAGATGAAGACAGTAGCCGAGGCAAGAACAGGGATTTTTGTGCTAACTGACTGGTGTGCTAGACAGGGTTTGCCACCTCCCTCCACCTTTGTGTGTGGTGGTGAGACAAACAGAGCTGTCGTGGGGCATGCTGTGGTTGCTGTGATGGATGGGGGCACAGCAGTTTCCTGTTGTTCCTAAGGAGCTATTCCAAGAGAAGCTGGGCCACAGGGAATGGGAGCTGATTCTCTTGGGTTATGTTAGGGTAGGGAGGGTTAAGGACTGGGATCAACAAAAAGACAACGGCAGCAGTGCAGGGATTTGGAGAGGGGTGCATGGAAGCATCCAGGGCTGGGGAGCGCCTTCTGGAGGGTCTCCTTCAGAGCATGCAAGAACGAACGGCTGAGCCAGCTCTGCTGAAAGTATTTTTGCAAGTGTTTTTTCAGTATGTGGGATAGGTTGTGCAAGTTATTACATATGTGGGCTGGAAGCTAGAGCTGTGGATCTTCAAGGCAAGACAGAAAATAGTGGCTTTATTTGTGTGTAAAGTGCAGAGGGAACAAAAATTATTACAGAAAAGCAGGAAGCCTACTGAAATGCTTCCATTTTGTATTTAAAAAGAATGCAGCTCTCTTGATGCAGAGAGGGAAATCTGTGTTGCTGTCACTTGGTTTCTTTTTCTTGAGCTGTCACTATTTTATTCAGTACGGGAAGTGCAGAAAGAGCTCTTCTGTTTACTGACACAGACCAGAGCTTTTCACTAGCTGAGTGCCTGACCATTTGCTGCAGAAAGGCAGAGCCCGCTCTTTCGTTCTCTCTTTCTCTCTTCCTTTCTCACTTTCTCCCTTCCTCTCTTTCTCCCTTTCTCTCTCTTTCCTTCCTTCCTTCTTTCTCTCTCTTTCCTTCCTTTCTTCTTTCTCTCTCTCTTGCTTTCTTTCTCTCTCCTTTGCTTTATCTTTCTTTCTTTCTCTCTTATATTTCTCACTCTTTCTCCCTCCCTCTATCCCTTTATCTCTTTCTCCCTCTCTCCTTCTCTCTTTCTTCCTTTCTTTCTTCCTTTCTTCTTTTCTTTCCCTCTGCAAATCCTCATGCTCTCTTTTTGGTGGATCAAGTATGTAGATACAATCTCCTTCAACAGGATATTGTTACTGGGTGCTGTCCTCTCCAGGCCAAATCTGTGTTTGCTCTGAGTATTCACAGACAGTGGAAAATAAAGCATGCCAGGACTTCTCGAACTTTTGGAATTTATGATGAGGAGACTTTATTGTATTTGGCACTGTAGATGATATTTGGTGGTGGATCATTTAAAAATCACAGGGTATTTAGTAAATATCATTATTAGTGTGCTATCATTTATTGTAACTTTCTGTTCTGCTCTTGTGTAAAAAAATGTCTGTCAGTTTGTATTTACTGCTGAGGCAAGATCTGTCCTCAGGGCTAGTTGGAAACCATTTGCTTTGTAAATTACAGTTTCCTAAAAAAGTCAGTGGTACCACAGTACCATAATCTTGAGTTATCGACAGAAAGTGATTGCTATGCTTGAAAGCTGGCTGCTGTGGTCATGACCTAACATGAAATAAATGTTTCAACAGACCTTTTCAGAACTGAAAATTCTAAAAGTTACTAGCAAGACAGCGTAAAATTAAAAGCCTTGCTTGTTCTTCTAATATGAAACTAAACCCTATTAATGAATAATACAGTCAATATTTTCTTTCTTATTTTAACAAGTCATATAGTTCCATTTATTTAAATACTTTTGTGAGCTGTGTCAAAATTCTTTAGAGTTTTAAATTATGTTGAGTTTTGAAGTTAAGGAAATACTCCACATGTCCAAATTAAACAGACTTTTGGTTAGAGAAACCTGTGATGGATCCAACTGTAATTATCATGGGATGCAAGTCTTTGAAGGGACGGGGTATAGAGAAGGACTTTGCTATTGAAAAGGGCCTACACATTTCTGTTCTTTAAAAAAGTCTTTCCAAGTCCCTAACGGCATTCTGAACCACATAAATATATTTAAAATTAATATGACTATAACAAGTTCCCAAGATTCCAGAGTAAAAACATAAAGCCAGAAAACCTGAGTTTTATGGTGATCAAGGAGATTGTTTTTCTCTTTTCTCCAACCTTTTTGGAATGCTATAATTTAATTTTTCAAAATTTTGCTTAGTGGTAGCAGTATATTTTAGAATATTTAACTGTGTAAAACAAACTATAAGTATAGCTTTTATATTTTTTCCACCATAATACAATACATTGACTTTAATATTCTGAGATAAAAGATTTATAGATGTATTTACAAAATTATACTAGTTAAATTAAAAAGACCTCTGAGGTAGAAACTATAAAAACTCTTCATAAGTAATTTAAAGTTGAATTTAAAAGTACTATATATAATGTACAAAGCTTTAGTCCAAATTACATTGTCTCAGATGGGTTTAGGAGAGGTGTTTTAACAAGTGTTCTTTTAATATAGGTGAAATGAAGCTACTGAATAGTCCATGAAAAATTTTCGGTTTTGAAACATCCCTGTCATTCTCTATCATAGCTTGAATTTATGAGCTTTTAAGCAAAGCTGTCTTTTCATACTCATTGTTAAGGCTGTTAATGAGAGTAATTATTGACATTCTGCTATAAAAGATACGTTTAAACTCCTAAGAAAGAAGTATTTGACTTGAAAATAGCTCATGTAGTTTAGGATAGGTGAATATGTATCATTTAATACAACAGTGCTTCTTATTGAATAGTTTTTAATATCTTGTGTGTCTGTTTTTCTGATGTAGATTTTCCGTTATATAGATTTAGTTGATCTGGCAAGATGTGCTCAAGTTAGCCAAACGTGGATGCTAATAACTCAGAACAGTTCATTATGGAGTGACGTAAGTAAGATAATAACTTTCAATATTTTATTTCAATTTTATTTATTTTAAAAAAGAGTGAGGTAGTTTACTTTAAGAATGCTAAATATCTAGGATAAAAGTTTTATCCCAGAATATGACTTGTTCTACTCAGCTACATGAATAAAAAAATAAGAGCAACTCAAATGAAGTTGTCTGTGGTATATCATTATAAAGTCAGTGGAACTGAAAGAGAATTGGCCACTAAGGCTTGGCTATAGCCCAGTAAGTTTAGACAGTTAAGTGAGGTGTCTTAGGCTTCCTAGGTAGTCTAAACAGACACTATATGACTACTGTGGAAGAAGAACATAAACTCAGTTACAGATACTCTGAGACTACTTGTATTTGCTTTAGAAAGGCTCTTGTCATCCCTGGAACAAGTGGTGCAGACCAGCTCACTTGCATACTCATGAACTCTTAGAGTTGTTGAGGTGGTCACTTTGTCTCCAGAGCATGTCAGTGTCCAAGGTACCATGCTGTTTCTTCTGCCTTAGCAGTCCAATTCCCTAGCACACATATGTCAGTCAACTTGCCTTCTAATGCACGTTGTGTGACCATGTTAGCATGTTTTTTTTGGGGCCACACCTGAAATACCTGCTCTGTCTTGCCTTGAACTTAAAAATGCAATCACACTGCTCATTGCTACTGCCTTCAGTAGTGCTTATGAGGCTTCAGGTGTGAAGAACCTCCACAAGGCTCCCCAGTCCTTGGGCAGTGACTTAAGACTAGCCATGGCACCTCAACCAGTATCATTGTTGCCTCTGTATCTTTGCCTCACGTATAGCCATTTATCAACAGTGTAAAGAAAGATTAAGGCCAGATTTTTAAAAGTGTGTGGGCACTTCAAATGTGATTTAGTCAGATTTTAGGCCCTCAAGTCTGAAATTACAATCCAAAATACCCTGTGCATCTTCTGCATAATTCTGGAGATGTCTAATCTGATAGGCATCTCCTTTTTGGACCTAGAAGTTCATGACGATGGTGATCAAGGAGATTGTTTTTCTCTTTTCTCTGAGAACTGCATGACCTGCGGAGCTTGGTCTGAGGAAGCAGAAGGGCTGCTCTGCAAGGGAAGGCAAGCTGGGAGCCAAGGGTGCTAGAAGGGCAGGCAGGGGCAGTGCCCCCCCACTGACAAGGGGCACAGTCCCACAGAACCAGAGCAAGAAGAGCAGAGCAGGTCCAGTGAGAGTAACCGGGGTCAGCCACCCACCAGAGTCTGCCAGTCAGCCCTGTAGTGAAGAGGCATCTCCAAGGTCAAGTGAGGAAGTGAAGTCCATGAGTGAGGGTCAGTGTCAGCCAGACACATGGCTGGACACAGACATACCTGAAGTCTGATTCAAGCAAGGACTCAGGGCAAGGGCATGAGCTTAAGGGCAACTCCTGAACCAAGTGAGGAAACCCCTAATGAGGCTTCTCCAGCAGTTTCACATGATGAACTGTTTTCACAAGAGTCTTATCCAGAGTTACACTGCTGCACCATATCAGAGCTGACCTTGGGCTTTGGTAGGTAAACCCCTGGAGGAAGGAAGAGGTTGCAGAGCCTGTTGGTGAACCCAAGGCCCTGACACTAGGCACCTCTCTCCCACTTAAAGAGATCCATTTGGGATCCAGAAGGTGAACAGAGTTGTGCCTTGTGAGTCTGAGAAGAGATCTGAACTTGAGTCTCCCAAATATGCTGTTCTGTCCTCTGAGTGGGACACCAACTCTAGTTCCCACATAGCTAGAGGCCTATATCTGCCTTCCTGACTGAGGTAAGGAAGTTCTGGAGAGCTCAACAACGCTGCTTATATGTCCTACTGTCTGGTTCTAGGCAGCTGCCTGTTCTCTGTGTGAGTTTCTTTAAACTGACCTTCTGATGTGCTTAGCTGTCATGTATATTTTGTAGAGTCTCTGCTCAGATTTGAGTTGTTGAATCTACCCTGGGCACGAACACCTAAAAGGCACTGCAGTGCCCAGCTTGTAGGTGGCTGAAGCTTCATAAATACTGTAGACATATGCTTCATCTACATTTAAATATTTTTAGTCAGCTGTCTAGAATTTTTATATATGTAATACACAAATGTTTCTGTGTTTTCCAGATGATTGATTCAATGTTTACATAGAAATTCATATCTTTACTAGTGATTTTCATAATGATTTGTATTTTGTATGTACTACCTATTTTTAGTACTGAATTATATATCAATTGTTTAAATTTTTAGATCAATTTTTCATCAGTGAAGCATAAAGTTCAGGACCAAATAGTAGTAAATATTTTGCAGAAGTGGCGTCCATATGTATTACGTTTGAATCTTCAATGTTGCTATTCTCTTCACTGGCCTAGCTTTAAAATTATCAGTAAGTATTACATGTATTTTTAAAATTTTAATTCTCTCTTTAAACTGTGTCTTCACTCTATGGTTTGCTATTGTCCCATTTTACTGCCTATAGTCTTCTTTATATGTCCGACCATAATGAAGCAATGTGAGTATGAGATCTGTAAAATTACTTTAAATGCGGCTCCCCTTCCTTCATTACAGTCTCCAGGCTCAGCAATATCCATATGACTGAATATTGCTAGAATGCTATAGAATGGTTTATATTACATGTGAAAGGCTGTAATATGACAAATAAGATTGGAATGCAATCATGTGCTCAAATATGCCATAATCCAGCTCTACTGAGATAATTATCACAGAATCACAGAATGGTTGAAGTTGGCAGGGACCTCTGGAGTTCATCTGGTCCAACCCTCCTGCTAAGCAGAGCCACCTAGAGCCAGTTGCCCGGGGCCACCTAGAGGAGGTTGCCCAGGACTGTGTCCAGATGGCTTTTGAATCTCTCTCAAGGATGGAGACTCCACAGCCTCCCTGGGCAACGAGTGCTCGGTCACCCTCATAGTAAAAATGTGTTCCCTGATGTTCAGGTGGCACCTCCTGTGTTTCAGTTTGTGCCCATTGCCTTTTGACTCCTCTGACACTGGGCACCACTGAAAAAGCCTAACTCTATCTTCTTTGCACCCACCCTTCATGTATTTATATACCTTGGTAAGAGCCCCCTGAGCCTTCTCCAGCTGAACAGTCGCAGCTCTCTCAGCCTTTCCTAATAAGAAATATGCTCCAGTCCCTTAATAATGTTTTTGCACTGTGTTGGACTCCCTCCAGTATGTCCACGTCTCTCTTGGACTGGGGAGCCCAGAACTGGACACAGTACTCCAGTTGTGGCCTCACTAATGCTGAGCAGAGGGCAAAGACCACCTCCCTCGACCTCCTGGCAACACTCCTCCTACTGCAACCCAGGATACCATCCACCTTCTTTGTGGCAAGGGCACATTGCTGGCTCATGTTCAACATGGTGTCCACCACGACCCCCAGATCCTTTTGTGCCAAGCTACTTTCCAGCTGGGCTGCCCCCAGCTTGTACTGGTGCCTGGGGTTGTTCCTCCCCAGGTGCAGGATGTTGCACTTTCCCTTGTTGAACTTCAGGGTGTTTCTGCAAGCCCATTTCTCCAGCCTGTCAAGGTCCCTCTGGGATGGTAGTATCATCCCCTGGTGTATCAGCCACCGCTCCCAGTTTGCTGTCATCTGCAAACTGGCTGAAAGTACACTCTATCTCATCGTCCAGGACGTTAATTAAGATGTTAAACAGGACTGGACCCAGGATTGACCCCTAGGGTATACCACTAGTTACTGGCCTCCAACGAGAGGCTCACAGACAAAAAAAAAAAAAAAAGAATCCAAGTGTAGTCCAAAATATTAATGTGGTGTTCAAGTTTTAGAACAAATAATAGGTACTTGATCCTACTGCCAAAACAGAGTCTCTCTGGATGTAGATAAGACCTTAGTCCATTCTGATAACACGTGTGGAAGTACATGTGTCTGTGTGATCAGAGGTTAATTCCTTTCAGGACGGCATTTTGAAATAGTTTCAGGTCGGTAATCTTTTTCTCGATGCAATTGTATACTCCACTAAGCAGAGAAGTGGGTAGAAAAAATAAAAGCCTTTATGATCAGTGTTAGAGGTTCCGTGCTAGCTGTGAAAGCGTACTTGATTTGTTAGGAATTACCTGCATCCTGACTGTCACTCAGCCATTTTATCATGAAGAGTGTTAAAACATCTTGGTAGTGTTTTCATGAGAAAAAACCTCTTCTGCTACAACTAGACAAGACTCCAAGAAATGTTTTTGATTCCTGACACAGCTTGACTTCAATATTTCTTAAGTAGGAGAATGTTACTGACTGGCTCTTTTCTAGCTTGTGCTTTAATTGAATGCAAACGCATAAAAAAGAAAAGGAAAATATTTTTATTTTCCAAATAAAAGTGTATTTTGATCTTTTGAGACTATAATGCTTTTATTATTTGATCAGACAATATATGATGGAAATTGTTGATGCAGCCTATAACAATTCCAGTGTGTTTCTTTTGTTTTAGAAAGTGACTGTGTAATTATGGGTGAGAACAGTTTGCTCTCCAGAGTGGTGATGGAAAAGAACAGTTGGCCAGGAGTAAAAAGTGTATTTGATCATGGTCTTGGCTTTTAAATGACAGGATAAAATAACATTCTCAATGATATCAGCAAGCGAGTTGTTTAGTGAAATAATTTAATTTAATATTATAATGAACTTTGGCAGCTAATAAAGAAAGCAAGCCAAAATAAATCATACACAGCCACATCACCCCCATTATGGGGGCTGTACTTAGAAATGTTAAATCCTTTTATGATTTTGTTTTCCTTATGTATTTGAGTACAAAACTAAAACCATAATAAAGTTTATTGTGTTTAAAACTAAAAACATGTAAAGAACAGTTGTGATAGAATTGAATTTTATATACATACTGCCTTTTCTATCACACTGTTTAACTGATTCATATCTAGTTAAAATGATTTAACTTAGAAGAATCAGCATGTTGGTTATACCAGTTGGAATATCAGTATGTTGATTGCCATCTATTTCCGTTTATCTTACATGTCAAAGACACTAAATTCAATTTTTGTGTCTACAAACTATTTATTTTCCATTTTTGTTGATAATTTATGTTTTCTGTAGGTTCAAAATCAAAGATTATGTCCATTTACATCTACTCAGTGCTATTAATTTTAAACTAATTGTGATGAATCATGTATGATGGTCCACAGGGGCTTTTAGAAAGCATTGATTTATAAAGCTGTTTCTTCTAACTTTGAAGGCACCTGGTAGTTCTTTTTAAGAATGAAACATATTTATATCTGTGTACTTTAGTATTTAGATTAATAACATATTTCTTCTGTTAAAACTCAAAACTCATTGATATTGATCATACAGCCTACTTGTGCCATGCTTTTGAAGCTCTTGTGGATGGTTTAAGATTGCTGCAAAACTATTTCTATATCTTTTTTTAGTGACTGAGAATCATACTGAAATTCTTTTCCTTTGACATTTCTTCAGCTAACAAACTGTGTTGAACTGTCTGTTCAGTTATAGGCTGCAGATGTGATGAACCTTTCCATTTGAACTTCCCTGAGCTACAGTTCTGACCTCATCTTTCCAAATAAATCCAAGATTACACAGATTTTGGCAATATATTTTTATTGTTAACGGTAAAATAGCAATGATATTAATTAGGGTTTAGGTCTGTTTGACTGGCTTATCATGTTAATATTTTTTTATAAATTGATTAGCTGCAATTTTTAAAAGTTGTTTTTATGTACTGCAACTTTGGTATGTGGTGTATGCATGAAATAGTAGTCATTGTTTAATATCTACATGTGAGTGTTACATGATTCGAGCTCAGACTGTCTTTGGCAAATGAATGTGTTATTGTGCCAAAGGAAAATGAGTATATGAGATGCATGGATTACAGCTCAGCTGTTTGTGGTATTACTCCACCCACTCATGGTCTTAGAGAATCATTTGACTTCCATGTGTGACTGGGAACTGCATTTAAAAGCTGACATTCATATTCATAGTGCAGGAGTTAAAATTTCCTCAGAAGATTTTGAAGTGTTTTATTCCCAGTAGTGGTCACAGTATTGACAGACCTATCCATTTTTCCCGCACCTGGTGATGGCAAAACATGGCGCAAAATTATCTTTTCTGTGTTTCATGTGTGCTGTGTGGAGAGAGGGGCACTGCTTCTATAGAGTGCTGTAGTTTATTCCTTCAGATAGCACTCCTAGTACATATACTGCATATCAGGAAGACAATGCACTGTCATGCAATTATTTCCTGGATAAGAACAGGGAAAGAAGGGGAATCAAGAGAGAAATTACTGAAAGGATGGACTTAAAAAGCATGTAAAGGAAGAGGAAGGTCCATGATTTTCTTTTAGACATGGAAGTGCTTCTGGGACTTTTGTGATTAAATAGTACAGAAACAAAGAAATGTCAACATCAAATTGTGGTTTGTGGCTGTGTTGTTTCATGGAGGGTGTACTTTACAGTACATTTCGGAGAAGCTCAGAGAAGCAGCAATTAACCCTGTAATGATGAAGTTTTTATCAACTGTTAGTCATTTCCTACATATGTATGTTTTTCAAATCTATTTTTGTCTTTTTCCTTGCACTGCTGCCTTCTGTACTATCTTCATAGTTCCTATATACTTCTCCTGTTCATACAGTCTTTTCTCAAAGAATTTGCTACTGGACACTGTCAGGAGAACATACTGGCCTGTATTACCCTTGCCCCAATCTAGTATTTCCATTCTTGTGTTTTTATAGTATTTTCAATTGCAATTACTGTCTATTCTGCCACATCCCCAGTATGGGTGTCTGAAAATGCCAACATGCAGAAAACCCTAATGGGTTCCAGCTAGTTTTTCAAGGAGGACTTTCCCCTCTCCCTTTTTTTTTTAATTATAGGAAACTAAACTGCCACTTGAATATTGCTATATCAATTTTATAACAATTTTCTAGTATCATTGCAAAAACTAAAATACGCAATAACTTAAGCAGTAAGGAATAAAATTATAGTGCATTGTAGTTAAAAGAATAGAACTTCTAGCTGCTCCTTGAAAGCTCCAGAGACCATCTAAGGAAAATAGTAGCAAAGACAATTCCAGCATTCAAAACAGTCTGTCCTTCTCTTGACTGCTAGAAGTCTTTTCACTTGTTGATTCTCAGAGGTCTAGACAGATCTGCTCTTAAGTATTGAATTTCATTTTGGTGTTATTGCACAAGTGTTTCTTTCATGGAGCTTCTGAGATGACATTGATTTCATAAGTTCACACTGAAACCTTTATTTGCAGGATACTTGTTGAACCATATTCCTCTAGAGTGTCCTTGTTGATATGTTCCTCACAGATTTCACACTTAATAGCTGTCACCAGACATCTTGTGCTGCTAGATATAGGCAGCATGTTCAGCTCATCATTCCCCTTGAG